TATATATATATTTCATGTGTTTAGCCTCAACAGAACTCACAATAACAAAAAATCATTCAAACAGATATTTGCCGAACTATGGGCAAAGGAGAGTTAAGCAAAGCTTTCCGCTTAATGTATTGGAAAACATTCCAAAATGATGAAAAAATGAGCAAAAACGAAAAGCCGAAAAAACAATATGTAAAAATGAGTCCGTGGACACCCTGATGCCCTAAATTAATAAGGAGGGTGATGTGAACACTGCTATCTGACACCTACTTGATTATTTTTTAGGTTTAAATATATAAAAACAATCAACTTATTTTGTTTTTAATCTGTGATTCGAACCCAATACAACTATCTATCTGCGCTCATACGTAATATAATAATATCAATCACTTTATAACAATAACAAAGTTGTGAGCTTTGTTATCATACAAGCTGATAAATTCTTGGACTTCCCATAATGTAGACTTTAAGATACAATTTCAATAATCTAGAGCAGCCTCGGCATATCTCGGAATTGTGCAGAAACTGCAAATAAGCTCAGATACGCATTTAATCTTGGTAAAAATGATAATAATGGTTGCCATAAATATACATAAATAAGGAACCTACACATAAGTTAACCTCTATGACCTACTGAGATTAGTGTTTGTTTATGTATGTTTATCTAAAAGGATATTTTATATTTATTCACTTCAGTTGGCCCAACTATTGAAATCTTAGTTTTTTTCTTATCAAACACAAATAATAAAAATGTAGCAGGGTGTTATAGGTTTAAAATATTAACAATGAATATTTTGATAATATATAGTAGAAAACACCAACCTTATCACTCCCTAATCAAATTTGCAGCATAAAAATAACACATGTTGCAATTACAGCATATCAACCTATTTTCATTTCAATGCAAAATAAGTCTATAACGCATAGGTGGCTGTGAAAAATAAAAGCCACGACAATTGTTTTTATTAATCACAGCTGTCAGAATACGTTTAAAATATACTAAGTGACATATAAATCCGAACACCCAGTTTGAATGGTTTTATTTTAATAAAAGTTGGTGAATGTATTTATCTTACAGTAAATAACAAGTGAAAAAATTTTCAGCCTTATCAGTTGGACATTCCGGTTTTTATACTGCTTTTTTTTAATTCACTAACACTCTAAAAATGAATATTTCAGCCGCAGTAAAGAATCAACGTTGGCGGATTTTGGTTCTTGACATCCTTTACGATCGGTTACGATGCCTAGAGTACGGAGACCTGTACGATTTCGTCAACTTAGTGAGTTTGATAGGGGCCGTATAGTGGGACTTCGGGAAGCTGGACTTTCTTTTCGGGCAATTGCAGTTAGAGTGCAAAGAAGTGTAGACACTGTGGTTAGATGTTGTCAGACATGGCTTCGAGAAGGCCGTACGCAAAGAGCAAGGGGCACTGGACGCCGCCGTAGAACAACAGACCGTGAAGATCGCCGCCTAAGATTATTGGCCTTAAGGGACCGTTTCTCCACTACCAGGTCCATTGCAAATGAATGGTTTGCAGAACACGGAAGACCTATTGGCATGCGAAGTGTTTACCGACGAATGAGAAGTTTTGGCTTGTTTTCATACCGGCCACACTGGGTCCTCCCTTTAGCTCGAGAACACCGACGTAATCGCCTTGAGTGGTGCAGACAACGGTCACTCTGGGATCAGGAATGGAACAGTATTGTCTTTAGTGACGAGTCTCGATTTTGTTTAGGCATGCACGATGGTCGTGCCAGGGTTAGAAGGCGACGTGGTGAAAGGAGGAATCCACAGTTTTTTGTTGAAAGACATGTTCATCACACTGTTGGAGTTATGGTTTGGGGTGCTATAGCTTATGGTTCCAGGTCACCTTTAATCTTCATCAGAGGTAACATGAACGCGCAGCGTTATATCCACGAAGTTCTAGAACCCCATCTTTTACCCTATCTTGACACCCTGGCAGATCCAACTTTCCAACAAGATAATGCCCGACCACAGGTTGCAAGAGTCACAATAGACTTCTTTCAACATAATGATGTCACATTGTTACCATGGCCACCAAGATCTCCCGACTTATCCCCAATTGAGCACGTGTGGGATATGATGGGTAGGAGATTGCTCAATTTGCAACGTCCTCCTCAGACTCTAGAACCACTTCGAGAGGAGTTGGTGGTTGCCTGGAATGAGATACCACAGGAGGACATTGACCACCTGATCAGAAGCATGCCTAGGCGCGTTGGAGAATGCGTAGCACATCAGGGTGCATCCACACATTATTGAAGGTCAAAAGGCTTTAAAGCAGTGCAATCATTTTGAAATTTTTATCATTTACTTATTATGCTTTATTAAGTACTTATACAAAATTTTATTAAAATAAAACCATTTAAACTGGGTGTTCGGATTTATATGTCATTTAGTATATTAAAAAACACTATTTCAGGGGCTTTAGTCACGTATTGATGGCATATAAGGTGTTGGATTTATATTAACAGTGTGAGTGACACTGGGTATATTGAAATTTGATTAAATCACAATAGGGGATCTTAGAAGAAAATTTCGGCTTTGAAATGTCTTTTTCACGGGCTCCAGCTTAAACGACTTGATTGATTTTTACCTACGAGGTGTCTCTAGATGTGTATTGACAGCGGGTATAACAAAATCTTATAAAATCAAAACTTCAACCTTGAAAATTTCTATCCTATGGGCTATAGTCCAAACGGCTTGATGGATTTTGAAATATGAAGTGTTCTTCTTGATAACTCAATTAAAAATGCATTCTTGTCAGTTACTGAAGTGGGGCTTTTTGTATTTGTACTTTCTATGCCACTGGGCGAGGAAGTATTGTAATCGTAAAAAATTTCGAAAATGGGATTATGTTTTTTGGATGTTTTATCACAATGTACCACAATGTGTATCATTACAAAGTTATAAAAAGAATGGAAGGAAAGAAGATGGTGGATGCTGAGTGTACATAAGAATAGAAGAAGGTAAATAAAATAGCATAACCTATATCTCACACATCTGTTTACATTTTATTGTTAGGACCAGCATGGAAAACCAACTTGCAGAACTTCTGGCCGACCCATCTGGAGAATTCAGTAACTTCGTTCGAATGTCAGCTAATATTCAGATTTAGTGACCCAAATTACACAGGTGTACGAAGTATTATTTGCTTGACACAACGAGGGATCAGACTTTAAGACAAGCATCATTGTTCATGTTCAAGACTGCCAACCCGAACCATTTTTTAACAGTTCCGTCTGGACTGAATGTATAAAAAGTTAGTTTGTATAATATATATGTGATACATCCTCATAAAGCACTTGTTAACCGAGCCGCAGCATCGAATGACCTTCAAGAGCAATTTATGGACATTATTATAAACGTGAAAAATTTATTCCGAGTAATGCCAACGCATGAGTTGATCTGTTTGGTGCAGAAGCAGGGATTTTAGCTGTCCAATGAAACAAATGTTTCTGTACAAGGTGCCTCTATATTATCGTTCAAGCTAGTGCCAAACAAATGGCGCGATGCTTTTCCTTATGTTGTGAAAATTGACGATCGGTGGAAAAACGCAGCTTTACATTAATTGAATTGTCAAAAAGCACTAGAAAGATAAAAATGTTATTCCCAGTGTAGGATACGAAATTGATAATATGATAATAGCAATATAACGATAACCGTGAAAACATCTCATCTTAGAAGATTTCGAAGTACCGTGCCGTACCATTACATTTTTACTACATGGGCAGTACGTAAACAATTCGATATGGGCAACAATGTCAGGGTAGTATTAAAGTCACTTACTTGGTGACGAAACGACAACGAGTTATCCTCCTTTGGCAAGCGATAAGGGCGATATGATCGGATTGTCGGGGCCAACACCTATTTTTAGAAAAGACTTATGAGTATCTCCCGTATTCAACCGACTCATGACAACACATGCACAAATCTACTATCTACCATTACATTAATGTACCCCAACTACTATTACGGATTCGTCATCGACTGAATCACGGGACCGTCATCACGACAGACTGATCCTGACCGTCATCACGACAGACTGGTCGTTAAGTCATCACGACAGACTTAATAGGAGTCATCACACAGACTCAATAGGAGTCATCACACAGACTCAATATAACTCTTTGGTCGCTAGGTGTATGGTCAGACGTGCTGAGTTTAACGATTGTTACAAAAAGACAGTCCAGGAACCGGGATATCACGCTGACCAAGGGCCGTTGTGTCAATACCCCAAATCTCCGACATTACCCCTGAATCAGAGGTAACCGAACAAAATGTGTTTGAGATATTTTGTAAGCTTACACCAGTACCCAAAAGTTTTATTTTTCCCCCAAAAAATCCCCAGAACATTTTATCCCCCAAAAATTCGCCGGGGAAGAAAAAAATCCCCCAAATTTGGGGGGAAATGCCCCCATATGGCAACCCTGCTGCGGGGCGGTATTTTAATTAGGTGCAAACGTGTATTGGTTTTAATCCATTCTGCTAGCATTAAGGACCGTTTTCCAATACTTTCCCTATTATTGAAATACCCAAGGGTAGCCACATGACTAGGTATACATAATATTGTTTATTTCTCACTCGTACTAAAATAATTATAAGATTTAGTTGTTAAACGAAGTTAGCAGAATACGATTTTAAATGACATTGTTACTTTTATTATAATTATATCACGACCATCAGTTGTTCTAATTTTGATGAATTAAATAGTGTTCTGTTTGAGAGAAGTGATAAGATAAACTTCACTATACTTCATTGCAATATCAGGAGCTTGCAAGCTCACTATGATGAGCTTTGTCTAAACATAGCGGTGTTAAATAAGAATAAAAATATAGGTATAATTGGTTTGAGTGAGACCTGGAATATCAGTAATATCGACAGTTATAAAATAAATGGCTTCCAAATTTACTATAATGAAGCTAAGTATAATAAATACGATGGGGTTTGAATGTATGTAAGAGATGACATTTCGGCAAATGTTTCCATAAAAATGATAGATGTAGTGACGGCATTGAATTGTAGCTTTATTTTCAACAATAACAGTTTCAGTATTACTGGTATCTACAGGCCTAATCCCACGAATGTACAGGAGTTTGTAAACAATTTGGATTCGTATTTGAGAAGTACTGCAAACTGTGACATTTCGCTGTTGGTGGGTAATATAAATATAGACTTATTGAGAGAACATGAATACAGCAATTTAAGATACGTGAATATGTTACAACAGAACGGGTACATATCTCAGATTAATACACCTACTAGGGTAGATTCTAACTCATCTACGATTATCGACTACATATTTTTGAAGGCAAACAGATTTAAGGTCTCTGAAACAGCAACTGAGTGTAAACCAATACTTTTGGAAAATTGTATGACCGATCATTATCCTGTTTTGTTCAATTTTGGGTATTTGAAAGGAAGTAATTGTATCATTAATAAAAACAGCTATGAATTTAAGAAAATTGATGAGAAAAAGTTGACAGATTATTTACAAGTGGTGACTTGGGACAGTGTTTTTTCAGAGAGTGATGTCCAAAAAGCAACTGATAACTTATATATAATGAATTATATAAAGGCATAGATCATTCAACGTATTGTTTAAAAATAAATAGTAAGACCAGAAAACGCAAGCCGTGGATGACTGACGGTATTCTTACTTCGATCAAGAAGAGGGATGAATTGAAACAGAGTTTGACGAAAGATAATGATAATTTGATATTGAGACAGTCCTATATCTCCTACAGAAACAGAGTAACTAATATTATTAAGATCTCTAAAAATCAATATTATACACAAAAACTCATTTTAGCTGGTAATAACTATAGGAAGAGCTGGGATGTTATTAATGAGGTAACTAATGCTGGCAAAATAAAAAAAACTGACGTAAAATCAATTAATCACAATAATAATCAGCAGCTGGATGCTCCCACTGATATAGCCTGTGTTTTTAATAAATATTTTGTTGTTATAGGTGAGCAAATAACAAGTCAGATTGATCAAAACTCAATTCTTGATACATCAGATCCTCATGTAGTCAACATTGCTCACTCTATGTTTCTAACTCCAGTGGATAACATAGAGTTACAACAAATAGTTTGTAATCTGAAAAATAATAGCGCACCCGGAAAAGATGGCTTACACACTAAGACTATCAAGATGATCATGAAGTATATCAGGCACCCTATAACTCACATTATTATCAACCTCTGTTTCAAATCCTCAGTAATTCCTCGCCAATTTAAAGAAAGCATAGTGACACCAATATTTAAATCTGGAAGTAAAGACAATATGTTCAATTATAGACCTATTTCAGTTATCAGTGTATTTGGGAAGATTTTTGACAAGTGTTTGAATAACAGACTTTGTTCTTTTCTTGAGAAATATGACATAATATCGAACTGTCAATTTGGGTTCCGCAAAAATTGCAATACAGAGCAATCTCTACAAGAACTTACAGGACAAGTGCTTGAAAATTTTCAAGATTTAAATAAGACTGTTGCAGTTTTCCTAGATCTTCAAAAGGCTTTCGATTCAGTATCTCATACAATTTTATTAAAGAAACTAGAAAGTGTTGGAGTTCGTAGTGGAGGTCTGAACTTATTTGAGAACTATTTGGCTGATCGATTACAACAAGTTAAGTTAGGGTCAGATTTAAGCAACATTCAAAAGATCAAAATAGGTGTGCCTCAGGGGACGGTTTTGGGACCAACACTGTTCCTCATATACATAAATGAACTACTTCGATGTAATTTCAACTGTAAGATGATATCGTATGCAGACGATACTGTTTCAGTTTGCACTGGTCATTCATGGGATGACGCAATACGGAATTCCGAGTTGTCATTAAATAAAGTCAAATGCTGGTTGGATAACATTTTACTTAAACTTAATATCTCTAAAACTAAGTATGTAACGTTTTCTCCAACCAAAGCAGGCATGCCATTACACCACCGAACATCGAAATTAAGCAGAATTATTCATAAGTTTTTCATTCTTAGGAATATTTTAAGCAGAAAGAGTCTTCTCTCAATATATAACTCGTTTGTGGGGTCTCTACTAACTTACGGGATAAATATTTGGGGAGCCGCATACACTAGTACTTTAAAAATACTACAAACCACGCAAAATTATATTGTCAGGACTATTTTTCGTATCCCATGTAGGTCAAGTTGCAGATTTGTATACATTGAAAATGATCGTTTGAATGTTCGAGGTTTATATATTTTTGCTGCTCTAAAATTTGTTCACTCCCGAAACAATTTTCCAACCAGCCACGCTTATGAAACAAGAACTAAAATAAATATAAGTTACACCTAAACCAGAGTGAATAAATCTGTTTGCCAAAAATGCATAAAGTTTGATGGTATTAGGTTGCATAATAAATTACCCCTAGAATATAAAATCCTCTCGAACTATAGTTTCAAAAAAAGAATTAAGAAGTTCATCTTAAATAACTTTGACATGCTTGCATCAACGGTAGCTTGACTCAACTCAGTAATTTCGTTTCTATCTAATGTTTTTTTTTATTTCTTTTTTTTATATACATTTGCTCATAAATACCTTATAACCATTAGCCATGCATTGAATTTGTATATTGTATGACACACACAAGCTTATAGCTTAGGTGTCTATTATTTTGTAGTAAATTCTTTTGTAGTAAATTGTAGTACTCTTGTTTCTCTGCTTAACCTTTACGCAAAATTTTTATTGTTTAAACATAAACTCGAAATATCCCTCTATTATCATATTTCAGATATTCATATTTTATGTACTCTATATCTATACTTCTGAGTGTTTTTAGTATGCTTCTGTTATGAATGTTAGATTTGTTTATGCAGACACGTAATTTAGGATTTGTGACGACAATCCCTTTACGAAAGTATACAGAATTTTCACAATTCATATACCGTTACTTGCGCTGGTTCTAGATCTGATGCTAGTATCTTTGCTCAGATTTCTGTTGCAATCTTGGTTATTCAGGGTAGCAAGAGCATACAAGCTCATGTATTTTTGAAGATTTTTTTATTTAAATTGTACTGAAGGTTGTTTTTAATTTGTAAGTTATATTGGTTGTTGAATTAGAATAAACTTTGAATAAACTAAAAAAAACTTATCTAGGAAGAGGAAAGCTAATAACTTCTCAGTGCGGTCATTAATGGTGATTCCTCCCGTTAGCAGTGAAAAAATATTTCTCATGAAATTGACTCTTGTTCTTCTTCAGGTTATTTATACACCAAAAATAAACTGCACATGTCCTGACATTCAAATCCCTAGGTAACGTAGGAACCAGATAAACAGAAACAGGTAAACAAGCCCGCTTTCGAGTTATGTAATTATTATTCCTGTTATGGAGCCCTTGTTTCAGTGCATGGTTGCCACATATTTATTTTTTTCCCAAAAATGGGAAAATGGCGGAACAATTCAACAAAACCAAAAAAGGTCTCATCATAAAAACTATCTAGCTGATTTTTGGTGGTAAATATAGCACCCAATGGTTCAATATGAAAATAAAATACTGTATGTGTGTTGTATTATATCATAACTGCAGTTGTTTTTGTGGTTTACTATTTGATTAATATTCATACTAATATAGCTCTGTACAATGATGAAAACAAAAATAACAATGATCAATAACAAACAACAAAATATCATATAATAAACTCTTTTAATCTCTGATACACATATGGTTTCTACAGTTTTTTTGTTGTTAGCCTAAAATATCAGTCAGAACTTTTACTACAATGAGTTTGTTGGTTACGAATATGCACTTGTGGGGTTGTATTTGAGTTTGTAGGTATTTTTATGATTCATTGCTATATGTTGTCTATCTGATAATGTGATATGGATAATTTTGCATAAAAGAATACATTCAAGTTTTTATTTTCCACATTACTGACATGGCAATTTATCATTCAAGCTTTTGAAATTGCAAATATCACTTCTCCAACACTTTGAAAGTATGTTGGGTAGTTAAAAAGAAAACCCTGGTGGCTGAAAGTTTTTATACTAAACTGTAATTGAAACATATGTGGTTTGATTTTGCGGTCAGACAATAGAGTCCTACTAACTATAGTATTTAAGTAGTTAGTCGTTAGTAAATTCATTTGCATATGTACTTATGAAAAGATCTGGTAAAAAGTAAAGTACAGCTGGAAAGAAATTAATTCTACCACCTGCCTGATGGCGGTTTTACATTTTGCAGATATAAGAGTATCATTAAGATAAAAAAGGTTCAACAAAAAAACTTTGTAACTCAGCAATATATACATAAATAGTGGGAAGACTCAGCACTCTATGATATCATGTCACAAGAATTACAAGCATTTTGTAGCAACCTATATTCAGTGTTGCCAAAACTACGGATTTTTTGGTAATTCCACCGTAATGGGGCTTTATTTACCGAAAAACTGAAAACATTTTCCACGATTTTTAAAAATAATTCAGATATTTCCAGATTTTTTTATCGAAAAATAGCTGCATCCAAAAATAAAGCTAATAAATGAATTACATGTAGTTTGCACTACCTTGTAGACATTTTAGCGTTCGTAATTGCTTGACGAACCTGTTTCATGCGTTCGGAAATAGAACGTCAAAAATGCGGTTCTCTTTCCGTGCTCAAAACCTTGGGAATAAGAGTCTTATCACTTGTCATTCTCATGATTCGTCATTGATTTACCTTATTTGACTATCAAAAAGTGCTAAAAATTGGCTGATATATATTTTTCACATAAATGGGCTACCTCATATCCGTGACGTTCCTTATAATAAATACAATGATCGCAGAAAACGTGGTTAGATACTGAAGTCTCATTACACGACTCTGTATTAATTTAGGCGTTCTAATAATAAAGTTTCACAGTATTCCAGAGTTAAACTTCATCTGTCGATCTACATTCCATTAGTAGGTACGGAATTACATTATCAAATGATTTAATAAAGGCACCCCAACGGGTAGATCGCCCGTATAACTGCATCACAGGTCAAGCATTAAGGAAACCAAAGATGGCATGTTTTCAATTGAATATTGAATGCCAGGTGATGAGGCTTCAAGTCCAGAGGCAAACAGAAAAATAGTCACAATCTTATAACCAAGAATGGAGAAAAGAGTTTCCAGGATGGTTGCTAGAGTTTGAAGTTGTAACAAAGAAGTCGATATTTTTTCAAGAGCTTCAAAAAACCTCTGTTATGCGTGTGGGCGCGAAAATCAAAAATATATATTTTTTTTTTCATAAGCGGCGCTGCGTAACGCAAAGGCCGCTGAACCACCGCTGATCTTGCTACGGCCCTGATTTTGTACTAGAATCTACCGAATTTGAATGGCACTATCTACAGATTTCGTCTTTTTCGGTTCGGCAACACTGCCTATATTGCATACTATCCTTGAAAATTGTATAAGACTTCAAGGACATATCATTTCGTTTTAAGGGTTGGCAGCTATGATTGTCAAAATGTTCGTCTATTTGTAAATGTGAATTTATAATCAAATCCAAGCGAATAACCAAAATTTCAATGTTATGTACCGTGGTTATGATATGGTTCAACTGTTCAACATGACACACGGGTTGATGACGTCAGTTACTCGAATCGCTTGAACGCGTTGGTTTTAACCGCGGTTTTGTTGCAAGTTGTTTATTTTAGAAAAGCGCGTACATAATTTCTAATTATTTTTATTATCACTTAATAATCGGCGCATTTTCGTCTACAGCGGTATATGGAAAGTTTAAAAAAGAAACCTTTCATAATATTAAAATTGGAGAAATGTTTTTTTTTCATAAAAAAAAATTTAATGATGGAACCAAGCCTTTGTAGCTATGATAACTTTCAATTCTTTAAACTTTTCCGCAAGTCAAAGAAAACATTTATTGATTTAGCAGAAATAATAGGAAAAAGCGATGGAAAAAAGATATTAGCAAAATCGTATTCAGGTGGACATCATCCAGTGAGTTCATATGGCCATATCTTAATATTCTTGTGGTATATAATAATAATAATAAATGTCTTTATTAATACACATACATCAGTATGGCGAAGTGTAGCCAAATGGCTACTCTTACACTTATCCTCCCTGTATGCGAAAGAGTAACATAGTTAAACTCGATACACAAACAAATAATAGTAATAATAAGAATAAAAATACATGTAAGTAAATTAAGTGAATAGATAGCGTGTTGACAACACGCACACACGAGTCAACAGAGTAATATGAAACAGAAAAAGGAAAAAAAAATAAAAATTTAATAAATGCACACTTGAACTATTAATATCCCATCAGTTGTTTCTTAATGAGTCTCCTGAAAGGTACTATTGTTTTACTGCGACACATTTTATCTGTAGAGTTGTATAACTTGACAGCATGAAATGTGAAGCTTTTCTGGTAAAGGGCTGTGTAGTGGACTAGCATCGCAAAATTTAGGTTGTGTCTGAGATTTCTGTGATCAATGTTACCTCTTGGTAATAGCTTTTCTAAAATGTACGGTAGCTTTTTACGCAAACTACTTTATGGTCAAACACCTTCATCACATAAACAAACTGTGATTCCATCTTTAACCAAATTAAATCTTTAATCTTCGAAGAGACATGACTATATATACGAAGTTCAAACACAAACCTGCAGCAGCTGTTTTGAATTTTTTTTAAACCTATACCGATCTGACGAATCCAAATAAAAATAGAATAAAATCAGAGAATGTTGCAAAGAACCGTTTGTAGTATAAAAGTTTTAATTTGGCATACGTTTTTTTGAGACAGGTAACCGATGTGTCTATCAAACTTCAAGTTAGAGTCCATGACAACACCCAGGTTTTTAGAATGTTCTACCATGGGGATGCGCTCGTTATTTATAATGAGTACAATTGCGTCCTTAATGTTATTATACATGTGTTTCGGAGAAAAAAGCATACTTGAACTCTTCTTTACAAAAATCTGTAATATTGATTAGGTCAGTATTAATTTTAAACAACTCTTCATTTAACTGTGCATATTTGAAGTGAAATGATAATTGTGTGTCATCAGCATACGTTTGTATAGAACAAAATTCCACACATGAGTCTAAGTCTATAGTGTAAATTAAATATATAGCAGGGGTCCCAGAACTGACCCCTGCGGAACGCCAGACGAAACCACAGTACTAGAAGAGACGCCCCTAACCATCTTAACTACCTGTTCTCTTTCAGCCAAGTAGTTTTGGAAAAATCTTAGTGGAATATCAGACAGTCCAATGTACTTCAGCTTGCTCAACATGATTTTGTGATTAACTGTATCAAAGGCTTTTGAGAAATCAATCATCACTAATATGGTGTTAATATGTCAGTCTAAGTTAGCTACGATGTTGTCAGTTAGATGGAGCAAAGCTGAAGTAGTGCTATGTCCCGCATGAAATCCTGATTGATGAGGAGGAAATAAGTTATTTTGCTCTAAATATTTTACTAGTTGAATGTACACTGCTTTCTCTAATACCTTCAAACAAAAGCACAGCAAACTAACAGGCTGCAAATGATTATGTGTGGTTGGATTTTTGACTTTGGCTAAAGGGATGATAATAGCTTCCTTCCAAGCTCCAGGAAAAGTCCCAGTCTCAAGGCATATATTAACAATATGGGTTAAATACAATAAAATTTCAGGTACGCAGTAACCTAGCATGTTCAAGTTAATTTCATCACTCCCTGTAGCAGGGGACTTGATAGAGGTAACTAAGTCCAAAATTTCTTCAGGATACTTTGTTAAGCATATTAACTAGATTTGAAGCGTCCCCAACAACAATAATGATTATAACTAATAAGGTGCTCTACTTTATGCTAAAACTGAAGTTAGCCTGTATCAAGTTTCTCAAAAATGAAGCTGAAGTACAATAAAAATATCCAATACCCAGGCAAAATTCTAACTTGTCACATTTCAAATAATAACCAGAAATATAAAACTACTACTGAGTTGGGTAAATACCACAATTTTGCGGTGATAACTGACATTATAACAGCTGATTCATGACCTCACGGATTAGTGATGGGTAATCAATACTTTTGCAAGTATCGAATAGATACCGATACTTGCTAGTGTGAAATAATAATAATAATAATCCGGTTCGTGTCTTTATGTCGCTGATCCAGGCCCCGACCTTCGAATTTATTCTATTTGTTTACTGTTATTATGCGGTCTCGGTCTCCTATAAGTAGGTATCATCGAGTATAGACTAGAAATTAGAAATTACTGATGAGTAGTGATGACTGATGAGCGATACCCTGAATTTTAAATTACATTGCTATATTTGTTATTGTTCCAATATTGGTTAAAAATAAAATATAAATTCTGGGCTTTTGTAACCAGAAATTAATTTCAGCCTTTTGCTTCAGTTAAGTGTTAGAAATCAAACTGAAACACACAACAAAAGTTCGCCCAATTGACAACCGGAACGTGCAACTACCCAAAAATCGTATTCAAATTACCAATCTCGTAAGACTGCCTTAGTTTTTTATCCTTTCGGTTCCCAATACCTAAGATCGAATCTATATCGAATATCGATATCGACATCTACATAAACGTGACGGTAGACATCAACTTCCTTATCTTAACGAGTTCTGGGAATCCCACGTGTCGGCCTCGACGTTGCGTTGAGAAGAACTGCTGGGTTATGTCATATCAAATAGTATAGCTTACATATTTACATAAGTTTAGAAGTGCTTAGTGTATTATATAATATATTCTTTTTCAAAATATAATAAAATATGAGTGATAAAAGAAGAAGTGGTGTTTGGTTATATTTCAATGCAATCAATTCAAATAAAGCAAAGTGTGACATTTGCAAAAATGTCTTATCCTATAAAGGTGGTGCAACTTGCAATTTGAGGAAACATTTGAAGGCGAAGCATTTTGCGGTAATAACGCAAGATCTTCCGTCTCCTTCGTCTTTAAGAACATCTGCGGAGTTGGAAGAAATACCCGGACCATCAACTTCTTCTACACCTTGGAAGTCAGAAGTCACCCCAGGAAGTTCGGCTTATGACACCACAAAAGAAATTGATAATGGCAAAAGACGAATGCCTTTTCCCTCATCAAAACAATCTAAAATATCGACTTTTGCTACGCGGCCAATGTATATTCCTCGTACTAAGAACCGGCATATAAAAGTTTTAAACATGATTATAAAAGACATGCAGCCATTTACAATTGTTGAAGATGAACGGTTCAGAGAATTGTTAGAAGAGTTTGATCCTGCTTATAAACTTCCTTCAAGAAAAACTTTAAGCAACAGTTTGTTGCCCCAAACATATGATGAGGTTGTTCAGAAAGTAAAGAATTTACAAAAAAATTCCGAGTATTTGACGATTACGACAGATACTTGGACATCCACAGCTGTTGAAAATTATTTTGGCCATAACCGTACATTATTTTTCTGTCACTCTCTGTCTACACTACAGTATGTATAAATAGTCAGTATTTATTGCAGTATTCGATGCATTTATCAAAAAGTATGTGATACTTCTGACTTCGAAAAGTATCGGATCTTTTGTATCGGATAGATACTTTTTGCCCACCACTATCACGGATCTTATAACCAAACTGATAACCACAATCCCTTGAAGGGATCGGTAAATGTAAATACCAATCCAAAATGGTAAATACCATTTTCATTTGGTTATTTCTTGAATTTGATTTATGTTTACTAATGATGAGAGATGAAAGGTTCTTTTATGCTAAACACATCAAACAAAACAAATAGCAAAGTGTGTACGTCTAATCATATTGTATACGCTTGTTACGAGAATGATTATGTACCGTAAACAAATGAAATGCATAAAATTACGAACCTTTACAAATAAAGCATTTGGATTGTGAAAACGGAGCGTTGAGTGTTCAATTCTGCTTACATAAAACCACCTTTAGCATCTTCATAGCCGTCAAACTCAAGTCAAAATACTTAGAATTAAAATAGTTGATCTAACCTCCTTGTTTCAAATTGTCAGTCTGATCCATGGGTATGATGAGCAACGGCAGGACTCCGCTCAATCCCACCAGGATTGAGCCGAACATGGCCCAAATCCAAGGCATATACTCCAAGGTGCAAACCCATGCCGGCACCAGCTCTTGCAACACTTCCTTGTAAGTCCCGTCGAAGGCACCACCGGTGGTGTTAGTGTCCAAAACGCACAGGAAGCCATCGGCAAACAATGACATAGTTCTATCACAAGTTCAATCTTGAACAATTTGTTGTTTGTAAGTACAGCACGACATAAACGCGTGAGGAGATTATGTTGGTCCTCGTCCGACTAACCTACGCTGAGATTGAGACGGACAAGTTGATCAATTGTTCAAATCTCGAAAGATGACGAGATTACAAAGCACTTAGCCGATTCAAGTTCATTGTTCTCGGCTGCGTTTATATCACTTAAGTAGATGGTTTATCTGCGGTAAACCTACAGCACCTTTCCGTTTCGAGGCTAGGCGACTTCTGAAGAGATGAAAACAAATCGCCATTACGAATTCAAGTCGACCTAATGCGCAGTGTGCCCCCACTGACAATCGAGAAACGCCTTGTTGCCAGACTTATCGGAACATTAGGCGTATACATAGCAAGAGACCCGCAGGGGTATTGCGTATCTTGAAAAGTGACATTATGTTGTTTTTACATTAAATATTTTTTTTTGTGACAATATTTAGATTTTCCTACAAGATGTCAACTTAGCACTAGCTGTTGTATACCTACTTGTCGTGTTCTCGTTCCGTAGCTGTACGTGTTGCCTAAACGTCATCATGCTTCAGCTAGCAGTGTTTGGCTCTGATGTGATGTAACATCTGCTTCAGAGATGGCATTATTGGAAGCTGAAAGTTGTATAATGGTTGGTAGAGAACGACAGTGCATAGGTTGATAATTCCATTGGTTTCTTGTCTCAAATACACTTACTTGATATGCATGCAAAGCTAAAAATTAATTGGGCACCCGCTTTTTCCTATACAAAAAAGATAGCGATAAAAATAGAAAATACAACAAAGCATGATGCGGATCTGTCTTGCAGCTTGCAGCATGGTCATTCAGCGTGTAGTGTCGTTGACTCATTCCTCCATAGATGGATGTACTATTTGCACACTAGGAACTATCTAGCCAGCAAGTTGACATTTCGTCGTTTTTTATTTTTGACGTTTTATAAGTTTTCTACGTAATAGCCCTGCTATCCATTTGCATTGTGTCGGTAACTTCTTGCATTCCTTTATCTAGAAATTAGCGGAAAATTCAACCGTTCAACGGTCCTTAACTGAATATAATTGAGACCAGCTACGATACAGGGGCCCCTTGGGAAACCGCCGATCCACCAAAAGCAAATCCGCACATGGGACTTCGCAACACGTGTATGTTGCAAAAAAAAAGAAAAGGTCTTTGCTCCTTGACGAATTGTTAATCTTAGCCATATTCTTGTTTAAAAATTTATTCAACACGTTTTTGAAAGAGAACACCTTTTTCTGACTGACTTAGAACATACATAAAAGGAAAAAACATAATTTTGCGGAGAAGTCCTACATGATCTTGTATGATGCTTTCTTTCGCTGCCGATATAACTTAATAGTACTATAGTACTTATAGCAAAAGTTCCTTTAATTATGGTTTAGAGTTTAGATTGCAGCCCAAGCGTCCTGCTGAATGATGATCTAGGGAACTTGATCCCTAAAAGCTTGGGCGACCAAGTAAATAAATAACTTTAAAATGGTAAGAAATAACTGAACTAGGTATTTTAAAAAAATGGATTTTTTTGCAAATGACTTGGTAGAAATTTTGGATCATACCATGGATCACTACAATAGTTGGGGAAAATGTTTATGGTTAGAATATACAATACAGGACTAAAAGTGTGACGGCTTTTGGATTTGATAATGATGGTGCATGAACATAGGCGGCAGCAGGATTTTCAGAAGGGCTGATCATCGTCCAGACATAAGTTTTTGTGAAAGTGTACCTGCCCTCAAAGTTTTTTAAAGAGGGCGGGAAAGCAAATCTTCCCACCGGGGTCAAATTCTAAGGATCCTCAAACGTTTACAAACAATCTTGCTAAATGTGCACATCTTAAGAACCAAACGGAATCCCAGGAAGAACCACTCTGACAATCTCTAGCATTACGTAAAATAAAAATATGATCTAAGTGGATTGAATATGAAGTCCAAACTCCATATAATATAGTTGTATAAATATCAAATTTCATACTAGTCACATTATCAGTCAATTTTTCCATAATTATTAAGACATGCTGAGACTTCAAATCTTAATGAAACTTTTAGTGGGCTCAAAAGTGATTAAGCCCACATAGCCCTATTCTGTTTCTCTCAGATACCTCATTCAGTGACCAAAATATTTCAAAAATTGATGAAGCCTTTCTCCTGATTTCTCATCATCATCATCATCTTGATTTGTCTATATGTAGTATTCGGTCAATCTGTAGATGTTATATATGACCGACTGAATGTATACCAAAATTTATAGCTATGGTATTTAGACTAGAGACTTTCTAAAGTCTTTTCTCAACTCATTTAGTCTGCGTCAACACAAACATGAGCACTTATCGTCGTTTCTTTTAGCATGTCGCTGCCTCCTCAGGCATTTCGATCCACTGACCAATACGATAAAATTTTCGTCGTGCGCTGGTGCTCGTTTGGACGGGAAACAGATGAGGTTTGAATACACTTTATAAATAGAAAACTCTGAACTTTACAGACAAAAACCATTAAAGTTGTAGATGGAACTGTTGCATCTGGATAAAGGGCGTTGTAAGCGAACGAGTGGTGCTTGATTATCTCAGAACTAAATAAAACTTTCACAATCTGGCATCGTCACATATATGCAGCTGGCTTTAGCAGCTGTAATTTCAAGGTCATTGGTGTACTGTATGTGTTATCCATGCCATCTTTTGCCGTTTGTTTGTACCGTATGATAATTTGGATTTTGGAAAAAATATAGAATAGCCATCGTTGAGAATGGCGTATCTTTTGAACCAACTGTCATATCAAAATCAATTTCCTTTTATATTCATTGATTATGAAGCGGTCAGTGAAATTCCCAACGCGTACAGACCGTATGTACCTACCTACCTAGGTATCGCAACAAAATAAAACCAGGTGTAATGTTATCTCTGTTATCTGCCCTGATTGTTTACTTATTGATAATGAAACAGTAAAAATAAATCCGTTTGTCTTTACGTATCTACAAACAGATCACATAGATAAAATTTAAATTAGTAGCTCATCTTCATTTTGGGTGCTGTTAAAACTGAAACGCACATTTAAAAAAAGTTCGTGGCCCAGTCAGACACACATCGCTGACGTGTGAAAGAATTGGACATAAGCCACGGCTGGCAATTTAGTAGGTACACTGAACTTGTAAACAAAGGAACTTCAATCTTGGCTAACAATATATGGTTTTTCCAATAATTAGTCACGACTCATATCTACTAATGGTAGGTTATTTAAAGTAGGTACAAAAATAAGCGATCCAAGTTGCACACATCCCTTTCATTTTCTGCCCTCCAAAAATAGCGAATGGCATCGTCGCATTAGCGTCTAAGGTGGTAAAAATCCTACATGCAGTTTAACTGTGGTGTCTGTGATATACCACAGAACACAGTCAGGAGTGTTTTACGTGTCGCCAAAGTAGCAGGAAGTGGGGTGTTTATATTTCGATGTATTCCAACATATTTGGAAATTGAGACATCATCCCTTAAGTTGTAACACTACGAAACATAACTTATGTATGTGCTTGAAAAACCAACCGTGATTGCCGGAACGTCATCTGTAGGTACTATTAGTCTATGAGGTTTCATTTGCGACTAGACAAACATGGAGAATTATAAGATCCGTTCGATATCGAATCCAAAGAGCGTTGTTTTTGCTCTGATAAAAAGTTGTTAGTTATAAGTTACATAGTACATACCAGAATGCAGTTTTGTATACACAGAAAGTGGTTTAACGAAATACTGGTGAAATATTTTTTCATAGCTAATGAAATTAGTCGAAAGAAGGATAAATAGCCAGCGTTAATTTCGTAATCTAAATGTTTTTCATATTTACATTTTAGATGAGACTGTTCATTTTCCATACGTAACTAAGTTCGGTAGCCTAGCAAGCCTAGCAACCCTACCGGAGGGGGGTTATATAGATTCGACTGTCGACGCTGATTGGTCAAATAAGCAATTTATGGTTAGGAAAAATTTGAATTTCATTTTGTTACTAAGCTAAATCGTGTGATGTTCTGGGTATGGTTTATCTTTATAACTTTAACAAAATTCAATGCAAGAGGTTTCTTAAATGGATGGGAGGAATCAAATAAAAAATTCCCGCTTGCGTTTTTTGCAGCGCGGCAGTGGAACGCCCGTGTGTAGGCACCGGTAGGTAGTGTGTTTAAATGCTAACGGCTATGATAAGTATACTCCTAGTTATTCACCCATGTCTAATAACTTTAGTTTTTAATTAATAATTTGTTGTTGTTTTTGAACCCAAGTCTTCATTTCTTCCGGAATCTCATTCCAAGCCCCTCAATGCAGGAAGGTCGCGAGCTCGTTCTTACACCCCCTCCCCCCTCACCGTGTCAACATTATTTTTATGCCATTATAGTAACTACATAGGCTCGGTTTTTCAATCGCAGTATCTTTGTGGCTAACTGGTACCTAGTTAACTACAAAAAACGGTAAAGCGTTTCACAATGTCAGATTAGTGCTAGATTGGCAGATAAGTTCGACCAGAGGTCCGCGTATGGATTAAATAGAAAGTTGTACAACCTCCAAGCGTCAAGAACCCACAGACCTCAATAGTTGAGACGAAACAGAAGCATGTCCGCAGTATCGATTATGGGTTAATTAACCCCATAACGTAGAAAACGAAACTTACGGACAACTTATAGTTAACTTCCAAGTTAAGAAAGGTAACATACGATTGTAAAAGCTGGGCCATATGCCATAATGTAAAAAAGCCAAAAATATTGGGCTAGGGCTAGTCCTCCCCTGGTGATTTAAAGGTGTTAATAGTGTCAGGTATCGACGGTTGTTTTTGTTAAATTTTTACTAAACTTCATATTGCTGTTCAAGCTGTCTTTTCGTAGATATACAACATAATATAATAATTACAGAAAAATGGCTTTGACTTCCACTGGTATCGATCACCATACCTAAAATGTTTCAAGCCTTCAGTAGCTAATCAAA